ATCGCCAGCTCGAAATCAAAAATTATGATTTTAGGGCTTGGGTAGATCTCGTGGCAGCAATCCATGACTGCTTGCAGCAGGGCTTCATATGGATCCTGTGTTTTAGACTGTAGACAAACAAAAACAGTAGAGACTGCAATATTACCAATTGGGATGCGTATTACATAAACCTGTAGAAATTCCAGTGAAGCCATTGCATAGTTGCCCTTCATCAGCTTTGTATCAGAAGATGCTCGTAACCGCGGTGATTCATCGGAACTAAACGAAATTTTGCGGTTGCCAGTGTCTGGTTCATTGTCGAAAAACGAAAATGGTTTAGGTTCGGCAGCTGCATAGTTTTCCATTCTCCAGTAAGTTTCAGATCCTCAAGTCTTTCTGTTACTTATGGATAGAGTTTTGAACTTCGGTTACGCCATCTTTTCCTCATGATATCTGTTGGTTGCAATCCTGATGAATTCCGTATTTACCCAAGTCCTCCCCACAAGGCAGGATGTAGCACAAGGAACCGTGGGGTATCCGAATGCCTATACTTGGGCAAAAATTTTCCCTAGACCCCGCATTTACGGAGTCAGGTTGCTGTCTGATGGTTGTTTGTCACCGAGATGAGACACTGCTCTAAGTAGAAACTCGTTTGAGTACCTCTCTGCCTTCGGGCGGAGAGGTCGACAAACAGAGTATTAGCAAACTAAGAGGTTTGGTAAAATCTAATCTCGAGGAATTATTGCAAAACAATTTTCCCTTCCCATTTTACAGGCAGAGCCACACAAAAGCATGCTGGGATTGTTTTTTCCTAGCCAATAAAAATAGCCGGTTCTCGGTTTCATCTGACGCAGACCCCGGATGGTTTTGTCTTAAAATCAGAATGCTTGTCCGATCCGAATGTCGACACCGATTTTTATTTTGAGAACTATTTGATCAATGAAGATGCAGTCTGGTGAGTTTGGCGGCCTTTGCCTTATTTCTGTTAATTTGCCTTTGCATTTATTGTTTGTTTGCTTTATATTATTTTTTTACCTTGTTCTTTTTCTTGTTATTGCTTATTGCAAACTTTGTCAATTCTGTTTGTTGGACAGTCAGTCAGTTATGTGTCATACGTTTCACACGCTTAGGCGATCATGTATTTTTCGATACATGACTGACGAGGCAGATTTTCTTTCCAGCAGTATGTTCCCATTTCTTTCTGTGTTAAACCAGTTGACACCCAAGGCTATAGAACCCGGTCTGTCCTGCTATTTTCCCATAGCTGGAAGGAAGAAGTGGATTCATACTTCTCCCAAGGGTATTAGCATGTAAGTGAATGTAATGAATTTGACTGAAATTCGAACTCGGCTTTCCGATTCCTCAGTCCGAGCCGCTATCCATTACTGTTACTTATTTTGTATTTGAACATGGCTACTCATTCAACAATGCTCTCACTTTGGACAATGTTAACAAGTCATCTACTTTATTGCTGTGAATCTGGTGAGGTTTATCTTTTGTTTCTACTGCTTTTCTCGCCATGTAGCTGATGTATTTTGTAACTGAAATTGTTGCATAATCAGGAGCGTGGTTGTTGGTCATTTGCTCTTTCAGGATTAGTCACATCAAGCTTGGTGGTCATGGTATCTTTACATAAAGAGGTACTCTTAACACATCTCCATCATATAGTAGTTGATCATATAATCTGTTTTATATCCATGTATCCTTGGAAGCAAATCTCTTTTCCTATATTACTTAATATGACTTCCATGATGGATGTGTCGTAGAGCCACTGAGATCAATGGTGTGTACATGACGTTTTTCGGAGACTGAACCAAAAATAAAAAAAAACAGATAGCAACTGTCCTCTGATTAGAATTCTAACTTAAAATTAAAGTTATTGGTGTCTAATTTTAATCTGTTTAAGGAGTCTATTTTGCACTTGTCTATGTACGGGTTTTTACATTAAAAATAGGATCAAATATTATGTGTCATATACGCTTAAGCGATCATATATTTTTCGATACATGACTGACGAGACAGATTTTTCCCGCTGTAGGTTCCCATTTCTTTCTGCGTTAGACCAGTTTCTATCCAAGGTTAAACAAACTCGGTCTGTCCTAATATATAACCATAGCTGGGGGAGAAGAAGAGGATTCATACCTTGCTCAAGGGTATTAGTACGTAAGGGAATGTAATGGATTCGACTAGACTTCGAACTTGTCTATCCGTTCCTCAATCCGAACCGCTTTCAATTACTCCACCGTGCCTCCTTATATCAAATATACAATATCAAAAGCTGCATTATTTTCTGAATAACCTAATCCTTAGATATCCCAATAGCTTGTTACTACTGTACTATAGCGCTCGAGGGGCTGTTATTAATAAAAAAAAATACGTTATCTAAGTCTAGGCCCTGATGGAAACAAATGATCCAATGAAATGCCATATTTGCCATGCGTTCTTTAATATGCCAAGATCCCGATAGATAGATAGAAATCACACTAAATTAATACTATTAGCAAATAATATTTTAATAGTTATCTAACGAATAGACGGCGCTGCTATAACTGCTGGAGCTAACCACCCCTCACTTTCCGGTCTTGACAGAGTCCAAATGTGTATTCACGGCTTTGTCGGTGCTTAAAAATTATCCACGCTACACTTCCTTTCCCACCAACGAATCCCCGCAAATCTCTCCTTCTTTATGTTGTGTTCCTTCAGCATGTGACCAATCATGGCTCTCCTCAACTTCCTACACTTTTTGGTCCTTAGCATCGTTTCTCCTTTGTCTAGCTTCCTTAATCCATTCAGTCATCCATTCACAGATGCACGTTAGGGAGGTGGCCTGCTGCTCTCCCCTATCTACCTTTCCATTGATATGCCCTGTGAGTGTTGTTTTTCCAAGCTCCCTCTCCTCATTATGTGTATATGAAATTTCAGCTATCTCTTTAAGATTCTGACTATGTGTTCCTTTTTTACCAATTTTCTTTAAGACTTGTTCGATGCTTAGTCAATCCGTCCATGGTATTCCCAGCATCCTTCTGTAGAAGCACAGTTCTGTTGCCTCAAGTCTCTTCTTCATCTCTGACAATCACCGCTATACAAAAGGATTGATACCACATAGAAATTTCTTTTTCTATCGTTTCATTCCAAACATTAGTCAATAACTGTATTATATATCTGACTAAATAACTTCATGTCCTTTCGGATTTTTATTTTAAAAAAAATCTTCCTGTGGTATAGTGATTTACTTAGCATAGCTTAGATGTGTCAAAAGGCTGAAAATGTGAAACACCCAGTGAGGATCAAAGTCACCATTCAGTCGTAATTGTTTGAGCGGGACAAGCTTTCTAACTACTACAACACGTCGAGGTGTACAAGCGATTTAAAAAAAACGTAGCTTAGTTGTAACATATGAATGTAACACCCAATATGGATCGAACAATACTGAGTCCTAAATTGCTCTATTGAAACAAACTTGATAACCATTGTACCAGGTCGAGGTGCCATTTTCTGAGGAGGCACGGTGGAGTAATGGATAGCGGCTTGGATTGAGGAATCGGTGAGCCGAGTTCGAATTCCAGTTGAATCCATTACATTCACTTATGTGCTAACACCCTTGGGAAAGGTGTGAATCCTCTTTCTTCTCCCTCCAGCTATGGGTAAATAGCCTTGGATGGCAACTGGTCTAGGAGAAGGAAAACTCTGAATTCAAACCTGCTCTTAGAGGAGGGTGAATGGAGTCTCTCTGAGCCTTGGTTGGCAATCCATTTAGTGTTGGTGTCACGATAAAAACACCCTTGATAGCCCTAGCGAAGCATCAAGAATTCAGCTATTTGACAAGATTATGAACTACACCAATCAAAGTATTGGTGAGTTCAATCTCGGCTGAGGCCGCAAGAGAGAGAGAGCCATTTTCTAAACGGAACTTAGAGGGATTAAAAGTGAAGTGAGGTTTGAACTCACTACTAATAGATCAAGCGAGACGAGCTTCCTAACCATTAAATAACATTGAAGTGACCACTTCTTTGATTGTAATAGAATCGAAAAATATATCGAGCTTCTGAATACATAATATTATGTTATACTGAAATCTCTGCCAGCTGCGAGTATAAGAAGGTTTCAGAAAAGATCTAATCCTGACCAATTACGGGTTCCCCAAAACAAATTTGATAATTGGTCACTTGTTTAGAATTTTGGAAGAGGATCTGACCCAAAAAGTTTCAGCGCCTTTTATTTTCTCATTTTTAACACTTGAATTCTTATTAATTGTAAAAACCCGGTGTGAATTATAGGTTTATAAAATATATTATTAATTATAGGTTTATAAAATATATTATTAATTATAGGTTTATAAAGGCCGACTGCTGTCGGGAATATTGCAAACTCTACGATCTTTTCATTAGCTGCATATTGCATGTGCTTCGACACGTTTTAAGTTATCCTTCCACGAGCCTGGCTGCAAGCCAAGGCAGAAGTGCCAAGTCTGCTCTTCTATTTAACCCATAGCTGGCGTGGGAATGGACGGTTCATACCTTTTCTAAGGATATCCTTCCATAAGTAAATGTAACTTACTCGACTGGAATTCGAACACTGCTCTCACATTTCCATTCCAAGCCACCATCCATGCAACACCTGCACACCCAAGGTTTAAAAAAAACAGGTATTAACAATATGGTGGACATTAATGTGTTAAAATATTTTCATTAGTTTATGAAGAGCTCACGTAGATCTGACATCTGACGAATGTATTTTAATCTATTAATATATACTTAAAAGCACTTTGTAATCGTAAGTAAATAAATAATATAATTGTTCCCTAAATATTTAGCAGATATGTTTGCAATTTGGTAACCAATCTTAGACAGGAATTAAGGGGAAAGTTGTTTCCTATTTATTTTGAGACATTGTCAGCTGACTATAGAAAATAATTAAAATGAACTGTGGGGCATCATTCGATTTTTTTCTGCTATCGTGTTAGCAAATTTAGGTGTCTTTTTTTCTCATTTTATTGAAAAAAGACCCAAGCAATGAAGAGTATGCCTTTTTATGTGGCTGTAAATTAGTTTTATTTTTTGTTGTTGATGTTTTGTATTTTGTTTTGTAAAGCACATGTGGTCTTTAACTTCAATTTTCTCATTTACTTTTCTTTCTTTAGTTCGTTCGTACCTCTTTCTTTCTATTTTTCTTTCTTTTTTTCTATCTTTCATTATTTCCTTCCACGTTTTCTCATGATTTCATTTTTTTATAAGTACTTCGTTTATCAACTTTCTTTTATACATCAATTTTGATTTCTTTCTTCCGTTCTTTCTTTCTTTCTTTCTTTCTTTCGTTCTTTCTTTCTTTATTTATTTATTTCTTTCGTTCTTTCTTTCTTTCTTTCTTTCTTTCGTTCTTTCTTTCTTTCTTTCTTTCTTTCGTTCTTTCTTTCGTTCTTTCTTTCTTTCTTTCTTTCGTTCTTTCTTTCGTTATTTCTTTCTTTCTTTCGTTCTTTCTTTCGTTCTTTCTTTCTTTCTTTCTTTCTTTCTTTCTTTCGTTATTTCTTTCTTTCTTTCGTTCTTTCTTTCTTTCTTTCTTTCGTTATTTCTTTCATTCGTTCTTTCTTTCTTTCTTTCTTTCTTTCTTTCTTTCGTTATTTCTTTCTTTCTTTCTTTCGTTCTTTCTTTCGTTCTTTCTTTCTTTCGTTATTTCTTTCTTTCTTTCGTTATTTCTTTCTTTCTTTCGTTCTTTCTTTCTTTCTTTCGTTATTTCTTTCTTTCTTTCTTTCTTTCGTTATTTCTTTTTTTCTTTCTTTCGTTATTTCTTTCTTTCTTTCGTTATTTCTTTCTTTCTTTCTTTCGTTATTTCTTTCTTTCTTTCTTTCTTTCGTTCTTTCTTTCTTTCTTTCTTTCGTTCTTTCTTTCGTTCTTTCTTTCTTTCTTTCGTTATTTCTTTCTTCTTTCTTTCTTTCTTTCGTTCGTTCTTTCTTTCTTTCTTTCTTTCTTTCTTTCGTTCTTTCTTTCTTTCTTTCGTTCTTTCTTTCTTTCTTTCTTTCGTTATTTCTTTCTTTCGTTATTTCTTTCTTTCTTTCGTTCTTTCTTTCTTTCTTTCTTTCGTTCTTTCTTTCTTTCTTTCTACCCTACCTTCATTGATTTTCTCATGTTTAACTTGTTTATTTCCCAACTTTCTTTCATTCGTCCATTTTTTCTTTCTTTTCTTCATTACACCTTTTATTTTTAAAAAGTACTTTATTTGCCAACTTTCTTTCATATTTAATTTTAATTTTCTTTCTTTCTTTTTTTCAAATATATCTCTTATCTAAAACCATCTTCTGTCTTCGTTTGTTTGTTTTTCTTTCTTTCTTTCTTTCCACCCTTTCTTCTTTGATTTCTTTATTTCTAACCTGTCTTTTTCCGAATTTTCTTTCATTCATCATTTTTTTTACTTTTTTCCTCTTTCTTTCTTTCTATCTATCTTTCTTTCTTTCTGCTTTCCTTTCTTTCTTTCTTTTTCTCTTTGTCTTTCTTTCTTTCTTCCTTTCTTTCTTTTTTCTTTCTGCCTTTCTGTCTTTCTTTCTGCTTTCCTTTCTTTTTTATTTCTTTTTCTCTTTGTCTTTATTTCTATCTTTCATTCTTCCTTTCTTTTCTCTCTCTCTCTTTCTTTCTTTCTTTCTGTGTGTTTCGTTTTCCTTCCTTTTCTCCTTCTACCCTTTTCATTTTTTTCCTATTGTTCCATTTCTCACTTTCTCCATTTCGTCTTTCTTCATCTTTTATTTTTCTTTTTCTTTCCTTGCTTTACTTTTTTAATTATTTCCTTCATTTTCTTTCATATTTCCTTACTTCATACACTTTAGCTTTCTTCTCCATCATTTCTTCACAGTCTAATTCCTATTAAACTCATTATTTTCTTCTTTTTCTTTTGTGTTCTTCTTAATTAGTCATTCCTTTCCTCTACACAATACTTTCTTCTTTCCATTTTTCATCTTCTCTCTTTTCATTATAATACCCTCTTTTTGATTTTTTTATTCTTTTGTAATTCCTCATTCCTAGATCCAACTTTCCATATAATCCTTCCTGACCTCCCAACCTCAACACTTGACATGTCTTTCCCGCCATTATCAACCTTCGCGGACATCTTTGACAACATCAACCGATAAACAAATATAGCTTTGGTGTCTTCTTCATTTTCCCGCCAAACCCTCAGCAATTTTCTTTTCTTTCAAAACTGCTCTCTTCTTCATTTTACGTTTCTTTGCTTCACCTCCTTCCACGTTTGTGGAATAACTCTAACCCTAACCCATCACTCTTTCGTGATATAAATCAAGATCAACTTCGTTACAACACGAAATCCAGACTGAGAAGAAAATCTGGCGAGAAGACTGTGATGCGCCTTAGTATCAGTTAAGGAAGTATGAATTCGAAATACTGGATCTGGTTACTTACAGTTTTTGATAAAAGAAGATGTGAAATATATCAGGCAACAGCCACACTTCGATCTTTCAATTCGACGCAACCTAGTTGCGACTGAAGTTGCTAGAAAATTGAATGAACAACAACAACC